CTTCGTTAATTTTTGTGCTACTTATTCAGAACGTTATATATATTTTCTTCACTGGCATTGATATTTGATTCATTGATTTTTCTTGATTTATACTATAAATTGATTGAGATTTATTCACAAAGCATTTACTTTCTTCCGCTTTGGATAGTCATTAATTTGAGCATTTACACTTTTTTATAACTTATTTGCGGAAAAATGTTCCTACTTTCATCATTCAGCTTCTAATAAGACCTGTGGTCAAGCAGAGCACACACAAAAAAATCCTTTTTTTTTTTGTTCATTCTTTTTTAATTTTGTGTACGCGGGATCCTAAAGTGAATGTTTTCTTTGCAGGAGTTGAACCATGTTACTGAATTTATTCAGTAGTGATAGTTAGTTAACGGATTGTAAAAGTTTCTAATGTTTCTTTCCAGAGTCACGCCAGAGAGAAGTTTACTTTTCAATGAGTTGCAAAATCGGAAAGTGCCAAGCTGTGCTGGTGAATAGATAATTTTAATCGATGGAGTTCCCAACTTTGGCAAGATCAATTAGATTTCAGCAACAAATGGAGTTGATGTCCATTGTACGGTTCACTTCCGATCATTAATGTTGGTTTAGCAAGTACTGAAATATCTCTGTTAACCAAAATGGTCACTCAGGCGGTTAGATAGTCACACATCTGATGACTTGTATGATTATGAATGCAAAATAAGTCTTTTGGCCCAGAAGCATGCTCGTTAGCTGACCCTTTGAAGCTTTCAGTTGGCTGTGGAACATGAAGAGAGGTAATTTTAATTATCCTAACGAATATATCCAGTATTGCATCGTATTGAACAATAAAATGAGCAAAATTTTAGGCCTCTTTCTTTTTTAATAGTTTCTAAAGTTATCTACCTACCTTGATTGGTCATGTGACTATATTTTGAGATTCATAGTTATTAGTATTCATAATAGAATGATAGGCATCCGTTCAGTTCGTTAACATAAGGGGGTAGGGATATTTTATCATGCAGGGCTTGGCACCTATTACATAGATAGGGGGAGGGGTATTCTGTGGGCTGGGTCATATCATGGATTGGCCCAGTGGGTGGATGGATGCTCTTTACCCTCCCCACAATGATGGCTCTATTGTCTTGGGGAGTGTTGAAGCATGCTTCTTCTCCAGAGTTTTCTTCATCATCAATACGACCTGCCTTAATAGAACTGATTTAATTCTCTGAACAATCATAATTTTGTACTTCTGTCGGATCATCCCTATATCCTTATTGAGCTTGTGTAGGTAGATGTTGCCTGGTAGGGCCGATAGTAATACACTGTGTGGGACAAAGTAAGGGCCCTTCTCACCTTCTACGAGTCGTTCGGCGGAAAAGACTTTCTGAATGGAGTAAAAGAACTTGGGATAATTGATCTCTTCATTAAAGATTGAGATGAGTCGATGTCCGTTGATGGTGTGACCATAATAATTTGTTTTAGCAGGCCCATGAGATTTCCGGCCCATTTCTATTAAAAGCCTCCAAATCATTCTCATAACTCAAACCCACCAACTTCAATGCTGTTAGAACAAGCTTATGTTGGCTTAAGCCTAATTCATGACGGTCCCATGCATGGAAGAGCCCATTGTTAAATCCAGTGCCTTAAAATCTAATTCAGGTACAAACACTTGCAAAATTCTCCGTATATAGTCCAAACTCAGCTCTTCCTGTCCCAAACTCCATCAACGTTCAAGAGATTCACTGTTTCAGAGCTTCTTTTGAATATGGAGAAGGGTTTGTACTTCTGTTATGATGAGAAAAATCCGGTGGGTCATAATTTCCAAAGTAAAGAGTTACAAGTGTTCTTGGTAAGCAACAATTTGGATGAGTTAAGTATAGAAGTACTTTCAGGGGCTGGCGAAATTGAGCAGAAAGGCGCCAGAGACTGGAACTTTCAACTCATTTAGTGGTTGGGTTAACAACGCCAATGGCAACTAAACCACACGGGAAGATCTCTCAGCAAGATGTCATTGACTGTTTCATAGTGGGGCAACATACAAATCTATTAGGATTGGCCTGGTTCGGAATTTGGGAATTATGTGGGTGGACGCAACTGTCTGGGGAGTTCTCTTAGATACTATACTATTGGTAGTAGATCGTTTAGGTGCATATGCCCACTTTGGGAGGTGGCTACATTCTGCTTTGATTGTGGCTGGGGCAGGGTGGCGAGGTAATTATAGGCTTCCATTTGGTTAGTTAAAATTGGGAGGGGTTACTTGGGGAATTTTATGGAAGAAGGCTAGGCACCAATTATGCGAAAAGTGGGAGGGGAATTCTGTGGGGATCATGGAGAAACTGATAGTATGGTGAGGAAATGACTGGCCTCTCTAATGCTTAATATTTCAATGTAATTGATTTCATTCCGCTGTAATTCCATTTCTACTTCAATTCATTTTGTCTTTACATTTAGTAAACTATATCTATATAATTATACTGAATTACTAGCCCATATCTGTACCTCTTTATAGTTTATATGCAGTTTTTATTCCAGCAAATTTATCAAACAGAGTTCTATCAGTCACTTGACTATATTTTGATATTCATTAGTAATATGTGACCTTTCTACTGGAGATTATTACTATAAAGTGTTAAAGGAAATATGTATACAGTGATTTATCAGTATATTTTTGGAAGCAACACAAGTTATAGTCATTGATATTCAGCGATAGATGTTAGAGAAATCATAATAGATACACACAAGAGAAGAAATTAAAATCCAATGCCCAGTACTTACAAAAGATGTAGAATTATTTGTGACTCGATAATGAATTTAGTAATAACTTAGCTCATAATTGATGGATGAAGCACGATAAATGTTTTTTCTCAAGACTGTTTCCCTAATTGGATACTTAATCAAGTGCAAGACGGTGTTGATAGCCAATGTCCAGGATTCTACAGCCGCTAGACCACTGCTAAGGGTGCACATATAATAGCAAGTTCAGACAACCTTTCTTAAGCATCTAACTAGTTCTAAAAATGTCACATGTAGAAGAACACTCAAGAGAAGAAAGTACTCATTTGAGTTATATGTTTATCTTACAAATGAAGGCTTTACATAGCTTTTATGAAAGTCAAGCACATAAATTCTTGAATAATAAATGCAAAATTCATGAATTTTACATTTAAGTGAAACTTTAATATGGATATTCATGAACATAATCTAATCATGCCTTCGAAATTTCTACATGTTAAATTAACATAGAACTCAGAAGACAAACTTTGAATTGTACAATATATATTTAAATATCTAACTAATGTGAGTTAGTTTTTATTTCTATTTTAGTATTAGCTATATGCAACTCATTTCATGCTTCAATATCCATTCAGTTCAATAAAAATTCTTTCCAACGATGATTAGTTTGGTGAGGCTACTGAGAATGCATGTTCTGAAATTCTTGTCATCTGCGCCAATCTTTGATGAGGATGACGAGAATTAATGATCGTAGTCTTTTACCAATTTTTTAACAATTTTTTTCAACGTTGATTAGTTTGGTTAGATTGACAAGAATGCATGTTTTATGGTTCTTGAATTTTAGACAAACATTAAAAAAGATGATGATTGGTCTTTTTGTTTTTGTTAGTTACGTTTTTTCTACCTTTTCCACTGGGTTTGTAGTGATTTCTGCTGTTAATCAATTAAATGTATTGAGCGCTTAGCATTTGACGCATCTATTGCCATTGTAACTTGTAATTGACGCCCGTATATTATTCTAGGGAAGGAAGTTGGCTGTAGAAATTTTCTACAAGAAATTGACTTATAATTGTGTAGCATATATTATTTTTTGTTGAAATAATGTGAAATATTCATCACACATTAACGTAGGATGCAACAAACAAGAACAATGTTGAGGAAAGAAGGGGAGAGAGAAGATGAGTTAGAATTTAGGACAAGAAGATTGTTATTTATTTCATATATCAAATTCTATCTATTACAATGAATAAACCCGCTCTATATAGAGTTTAAGCAATCCTAAATGAGAAAGAAACTAAATAAACCCTAACTTTGTTAAACTAGAAAACCTATTAAACAATAACCTAATTTTTTCAAACTAGAAAACTATAATAAACTAATATAATTAACTATATTTTATTCCCATTGTTTCTCAACGGTTGAGAGAATTCGATGCCGATGAGATAGATTAAAAATTTATACTCCAAATAGGTCGATCTTTTGTCTTGACCAAGTGTCAATATTGAACTCTTGATGTCAACATATTCAAAGTGTATCTATCACAATGAATAAACCCTCTTTATGTGTCTAAACAATCAAATTTGATAAAGAAGCAAAGGAAATGAAAGCTTTTAGTTGAATTGTTCCTTATTGGGAACATTAGAGCCATGATATTGCAATTATCTATTTTACATGCCCATCTATAGTGCTAGTGTCTCGTGCTCCTTGTGTTTCTATGGAATCAATTGATATGTCATAGGAAACGAATACACTACCTTTCGATTAGGAGCTCTTTTATATTTGATATGGAAGAAAGATTGACCCCTTGGATAATATGTTGTGGTCTATTTATCTAGAGTCAAGTTTTTCCTTGCTGGGGAGAATAATGGAGATCATAATAAATATTTTGCAAAAAACTTGCCAAGGTTGTATGCTTAATGTAGAAAAGCAATTAAGGTTTAATTTTAAAGATTTCCCAATATTTTGCTATGTTTCTATAGTTATTTCTTCTTAAATTAGTCTAGGTTGGACCTTTGTAAAGAAATGTAATTTTTTTATTACTTTCACACTTTGATTTTGAATAAAAATATTATTTCTTTCTCATTTTCTTGATCCTCTCTCTTTATCCCTCTTCTCTCTCCTTTTTTGTACTCCTTTCTAGTTCTTTAAAATTAGGTGATTATTGATTCTTTGTCAAGTGCGTCAGATGTCATAAACTTAACATATTTGTTAGGGTCCATCACATGTAGTGGGGACAAAGCTTGGTGAACGTTCAAACTCATTAAAGAAATGCATTTTGGTATTTATTCCAACACTCAAGAGACTAATGTGTAAGTTCAAATTTTGGTATTATCCAAACTTGAGGGACTGACATAGCAAATATAATTAAAATTGATTCAATCCCTATTTGTTTCATATTCGGCGGTCGGTGAGCAAAAATAGAGAGATCAAAAGGAAAACAGAGAAGAAAAGGCAGCTTAGCAGATTTTGATCATATGGCTATATCTTTACGATCCAAAAGTCTGATCGTTGTGAAATTTGGATAGCAAGTGCACAACTCATTGGGCTTCAAATCTGTATGGTTAAGATCAAGATCCGACAACTCATCTGTGATATATCACTACCGGAACAGCGACATTGTTGGTGAGATGTTTCCTTCCTGTTGGATTTGGGTTTTATTCCAAGATCATGTATATATTATTCTTTTATTTCTCACATAAGTTTGGTGTTTGCTCTCAAAAATTTGCATAACTAGTTAGAGTTTAGAGTGAGTGTTTTGTTCTTGAATACGGTAGTTATTAAATGTTTTCATAGATTTGTTGCAAGTCGAAAAAATAAAGCGAGAAATTAAATACTATCTTCCCCTTTATCCTTGTTTCTTGGCCTTTGCATATCCAGGATACAAATGGGTTAAGGTTTTTCTTTTTCTCTGTAATAGAATATCCATTTACATTTAATTTATTATAATTCTTTATTTGTGTCAACAAGGCCCTGTTTTATATGATTTTGGTGATGAAAGGGAAGGAAAATATTCAAGAAAACCAATGTTTTTTAATACAAGGGGATAAACACAAGTAGGGAAAAATGAAAACCCTAACCTCGGATGAAAGTTTCAAATTAATGTATCGTTTCCATTTCGTCCTTGTTTTTGTAAATGAGTATATTTGCTTCTTAGTTATAGCAAATACATCTGTGTTTTTCTTTAGTTTCTTATCGATATATGCTTTTATTCTATGCTGTAAAATAACAGTGTTATTCTATAGTTGCCAATATTTCTATTTTCTGTTGCTTCTTCAGATTTCACCTAATAATGGGCTTAACGACACGTAGAAGTTCGAGAGCGTCCATAATGGATTTACCGGAGCTCATCATTTTAGAAATTCTACTACATCTGTCCATTAAAGGGATTGTAATGTGCAAGTGTGTGTGCAAAACTTGGCAACGTCTAATTTCTAACCCTCACTTTGCCAAGCATCACTTTGCTCATTCAAAAGTTGGCATTCTAATCCGACCCTCGGACGTTGGACGAATTTCAAGAATAATTTACTTTATGGAGCCATCTGTAATCAATGTGATTGAAGCTGGGCAGCAAGTAAACTTGAAGCTTGATACCAAATTGAAGAGTCCTTTGCTTAATGTTGATGCTCATGCGATTGCTTTCAACGAGGGGAATACTAAGAGGAAGCGAACTATTAACCTAGACACCAAGAATCACAAGGTCATTATAGTGAATTCGTGTAACGGCTTCCTTTGTTTGTTTGAGCGCTCCCATAATAACCCAACCGTTGTTTGCAATCCGGTCAAATAAATATCTGACAGACGGCAGTGGGCGCCGCTACAGCGACAGCACAGCGCTGTTGCTAACAGCGCGCGGCGCTGCTGCACACGTAGCATCACGGGGAGCGCTACATATGGCGTCGGCCTCTTCTCTGCCACAAGGCACCTGCTCCAACATGAGCTGGTGTCGTTACTCCGGGCGGCACTGGAGTGCGCCACCACCAAGAACAGAAGGTATATATATATATATATATATATATATATATATATATATATATATATATATATATATATATATAGGTTTCAATTTCTATGAGTTTTGGGGATGGGGGCCTCACGTGTAAATTGGACAACTTGAGGCCTTACTTGCATTTAGGGTTAGAGTTATAAAATTCAGGTTTCGGTCCTTAACATTTTAAAGTACATTCAATTTGGGCTTTTACGCTTTGGATTTAATAATTCAGTTCCTAAGGTTTAAGAATTAATTAATTCGGGCCATTAAAGTTCTGAATTTTATAATTAAAGCCCTCAAACTTTAATTATTAATTCAAATTGGCCCCCAAGTTTATAATTAATTCAAATCGACCTCCAAAGTTTCAAATTTTCAAAATTTGATCCCTAAAGTTTTGAATTGATCAATTTAAGGCCCTTAAAGTTTTAAATTTGTTCTAATTGATCCTCCAGAGTTTTGAATTAATTAATTATGGTCCCTAAAGTTTCAAGTTTATAATTTCAACCCCTAAAGTTTGGAATTAATTAATTTTGCCCCCCTAAAGTTTTGAATTATTAATCCTAAGGCCCCTAAAGTTTAAAACTAAACAAAATATGTAAAATTGGTGATTATCTTTCTCAAATTTTGGTACTAAGGACTCTTTTAAGATATGTAATATTCGAAAGTTGGTTAATTGGAGCAACATGTTGGCAAAGCAACCTCTCTTATGGAAATTAACTAACTTAGAATATTAAAAGATGTTTTTGCATGTGTTATTCATAAGAATATTAGTCGGCCCAAAGGAAGGTCAATATTTAGCCGAATACACATGCATCTGTGGTGATAAACGTGTGACGATTATTTGATTTAATGTGTTCAATAAATCGGTCCAAAGAATGGTTTGTTGATTGATACATTGTTTTACCGTCAATGTTTGATCACTATGCCAAGAGTAACGCTTACAAGTCAATATCTCTATCCAAAGACTAGATATTGATGTTGTGCTTGGTATCTTGTGATGGGTCCCACCACTATTTGAAATTATTATTATTTGCATATTAAAGATATTCATGTGAGCTATTCATAATAATCGTTCTCTAATTCAGTTTCAAGTTTTGGTGCTAATATCTCTGCTAGCATCAATTCAATTCCAATGTTACATGGCACAAACATCAGGGCATGGCAAGAGAACGTGATGATTGTTCTCGGAGTCATAAACCTAGACCTCGTTTTACGGGTCGATCAATCCGCTGCACTTACTCATAAGAGTACCTCTGATGATATGATGGAGATGAAAAAATGAGAACGATCGAACCGCATAAGCTTAATGGTCATGAAGTGTGCTATTCCAGAAGCATTCCAGGGCACTATGTTCGATAAGGTGATTATGGCTAAGGGTTTCCTTGAGGATATTGAGAAGAGGTTTGTCAAGAATGAAAAGGCTGAAATAAGTACACTTTTGACGAACCTTGTCTCTATGAGGTATAAAGAGAAAGGAAACATTTGGGAGTACATTATGGAAATGTCTTACATTGCTTCAAAACTAAAGGTACTCAAGTTGGATTTATCTGAAGACTTGTTGGTGCACTTGGTTCTGATATCTCTTCCGGCACAATTCAGTTAATTCAAGGTGAGCTACAATTTTCAAAAGGACTCATGGTCCCTCAATGACCTCATCTCACACTGTATCCAAAAAGAGGAAAGATTGAAGTATGAGAAGACAGAAAGTGCTCATTTAGCCACCACGTCTAAGGACAAAAGGAACAAGAAAATGAATATTAAGAAGGAAGCTGCGGGTACAGCACCGCAAAAACAACATAAGGAACCAACTGAAGGTGGCTGTTTCTTCTGTCGAGCTGCAGGTCATAAGAAGAAGAATTGCACCAATTACCATGCATGGCATGTAAAGAAAGGTATTATTTTTCATCTAGTTTGTTTTGAGGTTAATTTAACTTCGGTACCTAGACATACATGGTAGATAGATTCTGGTGCAACAACTCACATCAGTATGTTTATGTAGGGTTGCCTGAGTTGTCGAAAAACAAGTGATGGTAAAAGATACATCTATGTTGGCGACGACAAAAAGATGGAAGTAGAGGCAATAGGAAAATTTGGATTATTGTTAAAAATTGGATTTTATTTGGATCTTGTTGAGACATTTATTGTATCGTCTTTTAGACAAAATTTGATTTCTATTTCTGTTTGGACAAATTTGGTTATTCTTGTTCATTTGGAAATCGAAAATTTAGTTTGTTTCATGATTTAAAATTGGTTGGTTTCGGTTCTTTATCAGGTTACGATAATCTTTATTCAATTGATATAACTGCTTCTTTTAATGAATCCCCGCATGTAAGTACTCGAAGTGTAAAGCGAAAATTAACCAGCGAGAATTCAGCCTCGTTGTGGCACAAAAGATTAGGTCACATCTCCAAAAGGAGAATTGAGAGACTTGTGTCTGATGAGATTCTCGACCCTCTTGACTTTACAGATTATGATTTGTATGTCAACTGTGTAAAGGGAAAACAACCCAATAAAAGGAGATTTCAAGCTAATAAGACTTCGGACGTCTTAGAACTTATACATATAGATATTTGTGGGTCATTCCCTACGGGTTCTTGAAATGGTCAACAATATTTTATAACGTTCATAGACGACTTTTCAAGATATGGCTACATATATCTCATTCATGAAAAATCACAGTCACTAAATGTGTTCAAAAACTATAAAGCTGAAGTTGAGAACCAATTCGGCAAAAGGATTAAAAGCATCAAATCTAATCGTGGGGGTGAATACTATGGTAGATATGACGATTCAAGTGAACAACGTCCAGGACCATTTGCTAAATTCCTAGAAGAATGCGGTATCGTCCCACAGTGTACTATGTCGGGTTTGTCCACTATGAATGTTGTTGCTGAGAGACGAAAAAGAACGCTTAAGGACATGGTGAGGAGTATGATTAGTCATTCTACCTTACCAGAATCTCTTTAGGGTGAAGCATTAAAGACTGCAACTTGTATACTCAACAGAGTTCCAACTAAGGCCACTGATAAAACCCCATATGAGCTTTAGACGGGTAAAAAGCCTAGTTTGAAGCATATACATATTTAGGGGTGTCTAGCTGAGGCAAGGCCTTATAAGCTAAATGAAAATAAATTGGATGCAAGGACCATCAGCTGCTACTTTATTGGATATTCTGAAAGGTCTAGGGGTTACAAGTTTTATGATTTCACAATTAAGGCGATTTTCGAGACAGGAAATGCTCGGTTCTTTGAGGATGTTGAGTTTGCAGGGGAAGAAAGTGTTACAGGCTTTGTCTTTGAGGAGAAATATGTTGAAATTCCTCCAATTGCCATTGATAATGATTAGATTTCTATCCCTGACATTGTTCAAGAAGCAACTTCGGATCAAGACAATGTCATACCTCCCTCGCAAGATCAACAAATTGTTCTAGAAGAACAAACTCTACAGCCTCAAGAACCAATGCCATTAAGAAGATCCACTAGAGAGAGGAGAAGTGCAGTTTCGGATGATTACATCGTATTTATCCAAGAACATGAAATTGACGTTGGAATGGTGGATGATGATCCGATCAACTTCCGTCAAGCTATGGAAAGTTCTAACTCTCAAAAGTGGCTCGATGCCATGAATGAAGAGATAAAGTCCATGAACGACAATAACGTATGAGACCTTGTTCCACTGAAGGTGCGAAACCCATTAGTTGCAAACGGATATTTAAGACCAAGAAGGATTCAAAGGGTGATGTAGAAAGGTATAAGACTCGTCTTGTCGTAAATGGCTTTACACAGAAAGAAGGCATCGATTATAAAGAGACTTTCTCTCCGATTTTTTCGAAAGACTCTTTTAGGACTATAATAGCATTGGTAGCATATTTCAATCTTGAGCTACATCAAATGGATGTTAAAACGGTGTTACTCAATGGTGAAATTGATGAAACAATTTATATGGTACAGCCAGAAAACTTTGTATCAAACGATGTAAAGCAATTGGTTTGTAAATTAAAGAAATCTAGCTATGGACTCAAACAGGCGTCTCGTCAATGGTATTACAAGTTTCATCAAGTGATCATCTCATTTGGTTTTGAGTTGAATTTGGTCGATGATTGTATATACCACAAGTTCAGTGGGAGCAAGTATATTTTTCTGGTTTTATATGTCGATGATATATTGCTTGCCAGCAACGATATAGGTTTATTGCACGAAACCAAGAGATTTCTAGTAAAGAATTTTGAGATGAAAGATCTTGGTGATGCCTCTTTTGTATTGGGAACTCAGATACACCGAGATTGTTCTCGGAGTATTCTTGGATTATCACAAAAGAGATATATCGAAAAGGTACTTAAAAGATATGACATGCAAGATTGTAAACCAGGTAACACCTTTGTGGCTAAAGGAGACAAGTTTAGCTTTAAGTCAGTGTCCTAAAAATGACTTGAAAATTAAAGAAATGCAGAAGATTCCTTATTCCTCATCTACAGGGAGTCTAATGTATGCTCAGGTTTGTATGTGTCCGGATATAGCGTACATTGTTGGGATGCTAGGGAGATATTTAAATAACCCGATAATGGATCATTGGAAAGCAGCCAAATGGGTCATGCGATCTTTATGGAGAACAAAGGACTACATGCTAACATACAGGAGATCGGATCAGTTGGAGATCTTCAGTTATTCTGATTCCAATTTCGCGGGATGCCAAGATAGTAGGAGATCCACTTCAGGTTATATTTACCAGCTTGCTAGAGGTGCTATTTCCTGGAAGAGTGCTAAGCAGACACTCATAGCTACTTCCACCATGGCAGCGGAATTTATAGCATGTTATGAGGCATCAAATCATGAAATATGGCTGCATAATTTTGTCACTAGGCTGCGCATTGTGGACAATATAGAAAGACCGCTCAAGATATTTTGTGACAATAAATCAGCAGTGCTGTATTCCAAAAACAACATAAGCTTAACAAAGTCAAAACATATAGAGATCAAGTTTCTGACTGTTAAAAAAAGAGTTCATAGTGGAT